CTGGTCTTGTACATGGTCTTGTGTCTGGTCTTGTGCCCAGTCTTGTGATGGTCTTGACTACAACACTGCTGCCTAGATAGTGCGTGCCCGTGCAGCCATGCACCAACAAATGCCTCCAAAGATGGCAGCCATCACATTCCATGCAACAGGGTGCACTGTACTCATTTGTAAGTTCTCAAGCTTTGGAGCAGTATCAGGCCACAACTAAATAATTTGTGGATAAACATGTGGGCACTTTTTATGTAAGTACCCCTGGAAAAAATAGCGACAAACTGAGCGCACATAAAATGCCTGGAAGAGTTTGGACACAATAGCCCACTGTGAGTATGATCTCAGAGTCTCTTGGTTAGACTTCAATTAAGCACACAGGTGCATTTGGGCCCCTAAAGTTGGTGCCCGGGGACATCTAGACCTCCTTTTCTTCACCCTATCCAGTCAATGCTCTAAACTCCAATTCTGCTCCTCCATGATGGTGAAACTTACTTTTCTAAAACATCTCTGTAGTTGAGGAGATGGAACCACGCGGGCTCGCATATTAGATCTGTGGAAAAGGGGAAAGAAATTGACTGATAAAAACAATGTAGGGTCACTTCCATATGGGTAAATTTATATCCATGAATGCGTACTTCGAGAACAGCCTGATGGGACCTTCAATTGAGCAAGAATCTCTTACAATTAGGGAGTCTGGGCTCAGACACAAATACTAGGTTTGGGAAGTGGCTTACATTTCAACCAAAGACCAACGTCTGACATAAACAGAAGCAAAAAGAACAGATTGCACAAGAAGAATGTTCTCTTAAGTTATATATTGCACAGAGGGGTGCGTGCAATCCTTTTTCATCAGAATGAGCACAAAATTGCAGCATCTTGCCGTGAGCAGAATGAAACTGGGCACAGCAAGACAGTAGTGGCCCCAATTATCATTTAACGACAATGATCTGCTGTATTTCTCAGAAAAATTAACTCACCATCCCTCATGCATCGTTTGTTGCACGATTCATTGATGTCGCTCACTTTGACGTGCATGGCCGACTTTGGTGGCCAAGACTTGGGCCGACTGCAGAAGTCCTGGAAGCAAGCCGAGCATTGTGGTTATTGACCTGTTAATGGCGGTTTTTATGCAATCAAATATTAGCGTCTAAGGGAGCCCTACTAGGGATGAATGGCAACCAAACTGGACCAGGGAATATAGAAAAAGTTCCCAAGTTCTATTTTTGCTTCAAATGGGTGGTCCAGTCAGTTTGACTAGAAATGAAAATCTGAGGTGAACCGATGCGATCACTTTACCTGTTTCTCAATGTAGATACTGAGTCTCTGCAGCATGCCTTCACACTGGAACTCGTAGGGTAGGTAGGGTGGAGGTGCTGCAGACTGGCTGATCTCATCCACAACCGCCTGTAGGGCTGTGTAGTTCTGAATGTCGATGGTCTGCACATGGGGCTTGCCGATGTACAGCTCGGCATATGGGTGCTGTGATGTCAGCTGTGGTCGGAGTCGATCCAAAGAAAATTTGGGGCAATTATGTGGATAAGTCTTTAAAAGCTACCGTGAGGCTCACAAATGGTACAGGCATGCCCCTTGGCAGGGACACTGCTGTCGAAACAATCTGTGTCGAGTTAATTTTCTGAGGGCTTTAGAGTTGTTCCACAACACATCTTTTTTAGGATCCCGTTAGATCTATCACAGAGTGTTTGACTCAAAACTGGGATAAAGACTTCCACATGAACACCTAATCTTGTGACTTGTGACTTTGTGCACACAACAGAACCGAATGACTTTGAAATGTATTTTGAACGGCTTACGCAGGAAGAGAATACACAAAAACAAACTAATGGTAACCTGATCTGGGGCAATCCACTTTTTGTCATTTTCACAAGCATAAAAAAGTATGGTAGGAGAGGTGGGGTTTACAACTTGTGTATGCTCTCATAAACTTGGAAAACTGATGATCAGCCATTACTTTCTTGTGTATGCTTTGGGGATGGATCAGAGATCTGAGGAAATGAGTACATTTCTGCGCACCCGTGAAAATAATAAGAAAAACTTATGACCCTTTAATTTGCCGTGATTTCATAGAAGTTCCCTAACAGAAAAATCAAGGTACGTGTACAATCAAGTCAAAGACTGGAACAACTAACGGCAAAATGGGAAGAAAATGAAAAGGTAAGGGAAAAATGGTAGAAATCATGAAGGACCCTACAGACTAATCTAAGTAGACACCATTACCGTGGTGACCCCACACTCAAGAGGGTGTTTTCACACTTAATGTACACGTTCATTTTGGCAGTTACATCACCTGCTGGAAGAAGAGGCATGTAATGAGCTTTTGTATCACCTGCGAGAGTGTATCACCTGGGTTGTCACCGCGATAATGGTTTCTGATTTTTGGTTGCCAAATTAATTCTGTGGGACTTGCTGCAAGGGAAAGCTAGATGAAGATGAATATTCTCCTGCCTGTGATGAAAAACCAACCTCTCTGTCAGTGGGTTTATTCTTGAAGAACTTGGTGTTGGCTTTGCTCTTCGGAGGATCAAAGGATGGGTTGAGGAAAATACAGCCATTGGCTATGGCCTCTAGGGGTGCTGGCCCTTCGTAGGGGAAGCCTAGGCCCACAAACAGCTGAAAGAGGCACAAATGTGCAAGTCAGGTTTAATTTGTCTCCTGAGGGCTTTAAATCTCGGGGTGGATCACAATAAGAGTCTTAGCGAGCTGGCTTCAACAATCGGAATCCAGCTTACTACTTTTCGCCGGATAAGGCACAGAACTTAATCCTTTGCAAAATAAAGCCGCTCTTAATAGCCCACTTGGAGTAATGATCAATAAGCAAAATTTCCAATGGTGAGCGGCCAAATGCATATGTGCAATGTACATAACAGCCTACAAGTATATGTACACGTGCTGTACTGTGCTCACTAGCACTGGAAGCAGTTGCAGGCGCATCCTTGCAATTGCATTGCATGTATCTGTGACCAGACTTCATATACATGTCCATTCATTCAAAATGCACAGTGAATGTCACAGAATCTGTATTTGAAGTAGACCTTTGTGTCAACATATTTTTCTCAAGGAGAAAAATGAACATCCTCTGTCAATTCAATGCACTTCGATTCAAATCACTCACAACTTCCTTCCACTAATGATCTACATATAAACAAAGTCTAAAAAGTAAATCCAACACACAGATTATCTTTAGTAAGGCAGCCCACACTGGGCTAAACCATCTTAAGACCAGCTTTAACACTTGACCTGCATCGCTGCCATGATTCTACCCACAGACCAGTGAACGACAACGTCGGAGCCTGTGATGCAGGTCGAATGTAGAGGACCAGCTTAACACTCGGCACACGACATACGACAGACATGTAAAAATTGTAACTTTGAGTCTTCTTTGTTATCGTGGTGAGAGTTGGTCGTTTATATTATTTTGGGCATATGGAGCAGGTGTCTAATTGTATCTATGTACAAAACCACATGGCATACTGCTTTCCCCACCCCCTTCTCCACACTGCTTGCTTGTGTAAACAGACCCTACATGTGGAGCATTAGCTGTAAGTACCATGATTATGGAATCCTCAGTACTGAATGCAAAAATTAGGATTAAGGAACCTTGAGTAGATTTCTGAAATCCTTAGAGGTTCATGCTTGTGAAGTACAAATTAACCCTTCCCATGCAGCGGTCATTAGGCGCGCTTTGCTCGTACCCACAATCCATGCTGGACTGGTCCCTTTTGACAACATTTAGTGAAGGGAATACCAATGACAAGGCACTGCGGGTTGCTTGTGGCCTCAATCGATGCACATTCAGATTTGAACCCGGTGTTGGTTCATTTTGTTGAAATGAGTTTAATTCCAGGAAAACTTGAAGGAATAATGTCATACATCCTGAAAGAATAAGCAAATTTAAGTCGGCTGTAAGTGATGCGGTAGCGGTTAGAGATGACAGAGGTCTGCAGTTGCCTGACTACAGACATCCAAACCTCCTTTCTCTCAACTGGTTGTCACAAAGTCACCTACCTTCGTCTGCAGAAGAAGATGCTGCAGGTCACGTCCAGAGAGGATTCCATGATTGTGGACGTAAGGCGGCACGGCCCCTACCTCATCTGTCTTGTTCTGATCAATGTGCACAGTGGCATGGATCTCAAACTTCCGGTGGATGATGTCCAAAAACTTCATGGCATTGGCATCCTGGGGGAAAATTCATATTAAAAAGAGAGAAAATTTACCATTTGCCATGTTGTATACAATGCTGCAAATACAAATGATGCTGTCTTGTTTCTTAATTTTGTTTATTCGTGTACAAACCAATTGCGTGTGATAAAAAGAGGACTGCATTTGAAATTTCATGTATTTGTCTCTAACATTTGTTCCCCAAATCCTGGTATAAACTCGTGTCCAAGTTTAGTTGAAAAATAACCCAGCTTCTTTTTTTTTTGACTGGTCCAAGACAATTATTTGTGGTACAAACTTAACGAGAAGTCTATTCATCTGATGGCACTTTTTACCACAAAGGGGTTCTGAGTCCATTGTCGTACTAGCATACTCAAAGAAATTTGTTGTCGTCAGCGTGCATAATGCATGGCAGTTCTCATAATCAGGCTGATTTACAGTGCTTTTTCTTACTTAAAGTCTTTTTTACCCTGGTTTACATTGTGATATTTAGAGTAGACTGGCTCTCAAACTTAACGATACTGACTATTTCAAGAGAGCTTTAAGTCCAGTAGCCACCATGGTCCTGTGTCTGAAACAAAAGGAATTCTTCCCATTTCCAAAATTTCCACAACTGGCCAACATTCTCCAAACCCATTACCGGTATGTTGATATTCCGGAATTAGCAAGAATATCTGCAAAAATTGAGTGAGTATAATTGCTTCTCTTTGCAGTTTTCCCAACCCAATTCTGAAACAGTTCCTTGGTTTTACTTGGATGTTCCTGTATATTCATCTGAATGACTTCTTCACGAGTTTGATTACAATGACTGTTGGCAAAAGTACGGACTTATGCATGCGGCATCTAAAAATAGAAGGTACATGTACATCCTAGACATGACGTTACTCTTCATTTCGGGAGACAGTGTTTAATTTCTGTACATGTTACAGAAATGGCATACTTAGACCAGTTGTTATCGCTTGACTTCTCAGTTGGGCAATGGAGGGCTCTCTTCAAATTGGACACAGAGCCAAATAGGCCGACAAACGTCAACTGGTTAGGCCATAGAGGAGGGCACAATCGAATAAACAAGAGACGATACTTTGCTTTCATTTCAGAGGCTTTTGAGAGGTGGAGAGCAATTTCACTCCATGTACATCTACATGTATGGATACATTTGAGAAGATTTTCAGATAAGAGAGACTGTCCAGTTGTAGTATTTTTGAATTGGAAGAAATCTAGCTGTGCATGTGGCATGAGGGCCATACGGCCGTTTCACAATAGTGCGCCACTAAGAGTTTGAAACGCATTGGCAAACACAACGCGCAGAATTTGTCCACCCATTGCACGTTTGGAAAGGGCCGACAAATTTCGCACATTCTGATTGGCCAAAGCGTTGCAAACTCTTGGTGGCGCACTATTGTGAATCGCTGGTATTATGTATGCTTTGTGTAGAGTGGAGTGGAAAGTCAGATTTCTCAACACTGGAGCACATCTGGATTTCTGCACATCAAAACTACGTCTGAAATTTTGATGTTTGCCTCCAAAAATGATGGCTACTAACTAGCCAGTTCAGCGTCTAATTTGTGCATGAAGTGGAAGTGAGAAATCCAGGCAGGAGTAATTCAACTTTGATAAGCTCCAAGTTAACTTCATTTTAATGTTTAAACTCCAATGATTAAAAAAAAAAAATGCAGAGCGGCTGGAAGAATGCTTATAATGTGTACTGGCCTCAGCAAAATCCCGACAAGGTGACTTTACATTGCAGAGGTGGCAGTCACTAAAAAAACTACAGAGCAGGAATAAACGACAAGTGATCTCACTATTCAGCCCTGGCCATGCCGAACCCAACAGGATACAACAACGTTTTCTAGCTGTCATATGTTGGTTTCAGCAGGCTTCACACATTAAGGCTGTTGGATGTCGTTGAGCTCATCAGGGTTGCAGCACAATAGGCCAATTGTGCCCAGTAAGTCACGTGACCAGGATATTGAAAATCAACAAACATGATGCCCTCCCATAGGAGAGTATGTCAAAAGTGTCGTTTACCAAAAATAAAGCTGACGGTCGGTGTACTACTCAGACAACTGATGTGCTGAGTGCTGTACTTAAAATTGGCTTTATTTTTGGTAGACAACACTTAAAACGCACACTGCTATGAGAGGACGCCATGTTTGTTGATGTTTGAGACACACTGTCTGCCCTGAGCGAAAAAAAGAGGGCTTTATTTTTTGGTACTCACCACATAGGCGCGCATTTATGATGGAGATCGATGGCGCATTTGACGCGGAGCACGCTGAGTACGCGTAACAAATTTATTCCTTAATGTATGGCCTTCGCGTACACGCAGAACGCATACAAGAACCCGCTGGGAAAACTTCCTACTATCTGTCTTTTCTTTTGCCGTTTGGGGGTGCACTTCAACTCGGGTCGTATAGGTCACGTGACTTAGCGGGCGCAATCGGTCTATTAGGGTTAGGGCTAGTGGAAAATAAAACTTCAACCATTAATTACCGCAAACGCTCCCTAGCATATAAACCTACTTCTAGCACTACTTTAGCCCAAACTTTCATGAAAATCATGCATGGTATATGTTGAATGTAAACAGAAGTCAGAATCAAAGAATAGATGGAACAATGGGCTGTAAAGGAAATTTTCCTGTTACCTCTGATGATCCTTTATTTTCAAGTCCTGGGAACTGATCCAAAACAGATAAGTACAGGTGCTTGTCATTTTTGTCGGGACCGACTTCTTAAAAAGCCAAGTTTAGGTTCAATTACAAATTGTGACCCGCTCTGCGAAAATGAGTCCCATCATGTCATCAGAGCCACTTTGGAGTTAAGGGCCTTTGGAAGAATCTCGCACAGTGTTAAAGCAATAGGAATCCTCAACATTTTATAATCTACACAACATCCATGTTCATCATACCACACTGATGAGCACAGACCTCCAATTCCTCAATCTAATACCAAGTCAAACTCAAAAGTGGCTCCAGCGACTTGTAACTCATTTTTACAGAGCGTTACAACTACACAAATGATACCGTAATAGAAGATTTTTGGATCTTTTTTGGCGTTATTCAATGTTTGTATCAATTATTTTTACTGTCTTTGGTTTTGCATGTACAATACATTTTTTACTGTCCTCCATTTTACTGTACTGACGTTTTTCACTCTGAATCCCCGATTTTCCTTTTAAAATCTGCAGCAACTTCTGCCATCATGAACACTCCTCCCCCTTTACTAAACAACTCTTTAAATATCGATTTCCACAATTGAAAACAGCCGCCATAGGAATCAGTTGATGTGCAAAATCAGTTCATGGGTCATTCCATGAGGTTGGGGCACAATTTGTCAGATGCCAGTTGTTACATGGGTTCCCTAAAAATGAACAGCTAGTTCCCTGTATGTCGATTCCAAATTGACATTGCTACACATCTTGCAAGGCTGAATAGGTGTGTGCTTTTTCACAGAGCAAATGGCCTACTCTACTGGTCATGACATTTAATAAAATTACCCATGTAACAAGGACACCGTCACAAATTGGAATGGAATGACTCTCATTCATATTTCATTGTTTGAATGTTAAGGGCTTTTTTCTTTTGGTTTCCAGTGTCTTCCACTTACATTACTGGTATGACCCTTTCTTATCAAGCCGCATGTACATGAAGCATAAGGAGTGGATCTTCAATGCAAGACATAGTGTTGAGGATCTCATCTGGTTCCAAAATCCACACGCTGACCATAAGCAGATGAGTACACTGTGAAGGTATTTGCATATACGTGTCAACCGCTGGTTGTCTGTGAACGGTACCTGATTAAAGGCATTGGCACTTCACTCAGATTCCGCTCCACAATTTGGGAAAGCCCCTCACTAGGTAACAATCCCAGTTCTTTACCACAACTGCATTTTTTGGCAGTTTGTGTTTCTCAAGGCCCAAATGTCTCCTAAAACAGGTAAAAAAAACAGATGAAAGGCAGTATATGCACAAGGGTACTTGGCAGAAATCCCTGCGCCTTACCTTCCACATGTAAGACATCTTGCCATAGACGAGAGCTTTGTTGTCACGAGTCCCCGGTACAGCCGTCTCGTACCTGTTGCTCTCCACTACGAACCCCATAAAGGAATTGTCTGGCGTGTGAGCTGCAAATAACCAAGGGGCAACGGTCATTGACACTTTGAGAAGTATCTAGAGTTTACATATTTAAACACTGGTTTAAAGATCTTACCACTGGTTTAGCCATATATGTTTGTGTACTAGTATTTAAACACTGGTTTACAGAACTAACCACTAATATAAACATTGGTTTACACGCCTAACCTCTGCTTTAGATACTCACAGTTTATACACTTAAAAAATGGTTTTGACAAGTAACAAATGGTTTAGACACATACACACTTAAGTGCCAGACTAAAACAAAAAGAGTCAAGAGTGAGAAGGAACTCACGAAACATAGTAAAGAACTGCTTGGGGAGGAGTTCCCAGCCTCCCCAGTCCGTCTTACGACCTGTCCTCTTGGAGTAGCTACGGATGTTGTAGGCCGGCTCTGTACCAAAGGAATCAATCACTCGCAGCATGCAGCTGGAAATATGAAAAGAGAATTACATGTGGGTAAATAATACTTATTATGTATGAATTTTATTCAGTGCAAATTCAAGACAATGACAAGGTAATGTTCAAATGGGCTGTACAATAAAGACACTAAACTACATGTTCAATGTGCTCAAGTGGAAGGCATGAAAAAGTAACTCAAATTTATCTCAAACAGGCAAAAAACACAACACAATACTTAAAAGAATGAAATCAGCCGACAACCAGTCTAGGCAAGTACATCCCACAATAGTTGTACAAATGAGTCATCAGTCACCAGGGCAACTTTTGAGTTAAAGGCCATTGAAAGAATCCTGCCCAATGTACATGTAAATCAATATGAGCTCTCAGTATCTGTCACCCGTATAATGCCAATTGTTATAAGGACGACAAACTGAGTGAAAGAGTTCAGTTTGCCAACTTTGCTCTTTCCAATACAAATTCTAACTCAGAAGTGGTTTTGGCAACTTCTAACTCACTTTTACAGAGCAGATCACATTTGGCTGGTACCCTGCTCCTGTTGAAAACAATAAAGTATCTGTGGGGCTCTGGACGAAAGCCTCCCTTGGCCAATTTCGCACGGCTCCCCGAAGGAAAACAAGCTTAGCAGATTTATGTGCCAAGCAAAAATCAGAGGAGAACCAGTCAAGAGCAATTTATGAAACATAAAATGCTCAATGGTAACATGCTTTCACTTAGCAAATGATTTTCTTTTCTCAGCAAATTTGCCCGTTGGATGAGCAAGCCCTGTCAACACGGCCCCCCTTGGCTTACTTGAGCTGCTTCCAGAGAGGTCCAGCGGCCTTCTTGAATTGTTTCAAGCCCACAATGTCGATGTACACCAGGTCAAAGGGCCGCTCACCTCCAATCGGACAACTCTGACTAATGACCCCCTTTCCTTTCAGAAAACTGCATATGTGCCCAGTCAGGAAAAAAACAACAGATTCTCACATAATAGTGTACGACTGAGGAAGAGAAAACTCCTCCAACTTTAATATGTAAACATTCACTGACAGAGGAAAAGGCCTTCATGTTTGTGTTTGCCTTGAAATGACTATTCAGATTGGTCAACTTCTCTTCAGCTGAACTATATAAACCTCAATGCAAATACCTTGTGAATCATGAACGTGCGACTTGGTTCATTTTATACAGATTCAAAATCTTACTAAATCCATTCAAAAAAGTACGGCATTGGTAATTTGTGTCACTCGGTGAGTCAATTTTGCTGGAATAGCATGGTTCACATCAGGAAGTAAAATACAAACACATGTACATGTAGGAAAATTACTAAGCTTGTACTTAGAAAACTGTGCTGAATAGAAAGGCTGCATTCATACATGTACATGTACATTATGATTCACTTAGACCCAAACTTCACTTGAGATACTGTACATGTGCTCTGTACTTTCTGTGAGTATGAAATGGGGATAAACTCAAAAGTTTTGTATTCAGCTTCAGTTCATCGATGTTTAAGTCTGCATCACATGTTCTCCTATTAAAGTATGTTAGCTGGTATCTAATGACAGGAAGTCTGAATACAAACCCTTAAATCATTCAGTCTCAAATTACTCATAAATCAAATGAAGAGCCAAAAAGGCCCTTTCTGTGTCACTGTACCCTTTCAGTCGTGACTGACTTTTGATTGACATGAGATTTGGCATGGGGTACATTTGACCGCAACTCTACGATTCATATGGGTTTTCACTGTGCTCAAACAAGCTGTACTTTTCAAAGATAAGCTCTTCTTCAGCCTGTATTTAGTGCTTGATCATTTCTGTCGTGTGTTAACGGAACAACTGTTCAAATGTTACCTTTTCAGTGATGAGTACATCACGGACACCTCCAGGTTGTGTCCTAGGATGTAAAGCGACGCTAAAATGTCACTCCACTGGACAAGCTCACCCAGGGGGCCCCCAGAGAAGGCATTCTCGGCAATCTTGAACCCCGACTCTTTGGTCAGTAATCCCATGTGAACCAAGATCTGGCCAGAGAATGGGTGAAATAGAATAAGTACAAAGATAATGCACAGGGGGGAGGGGTTAAGACGACTAAAAACAGAGTTCCATGGACACAGAAGGGGCGGGTGTTATTGCAGTTGAAACTTGAAACTTGAAAGTTGAAACTTCAAGAAACTTGAAACATCAGTGGAATCTCGGGAGCTAGCCCCTTTCATTTTCAATCATTACAACACAGACGCAAAGAAGAGGAATAAACTTGGAGAAAACTGTCTCAAGATGTTAACTTGATTTTAGTTTACCCTCCCCAGAACAGTAGCAGCAGGATGCGTGATGACAGGAAATTATCAAGTTATCCACCACCAACACAAACCATTTCCCACGGACTGTCTGTCACCTCTCAATCACTTTGTCTGAGTTTTGGAAATCTTTCCTTGAAATGCTCCTGCCGGGCAGTGACACAAACGTTGTACACCAGACCTCATGTTCCTTTGGCACATGCCCTTGAATGTGCGTGGGTAGATTTGCACGGAAGCAATGAATAAATCACAATGTTAATTTTGTGAAAAGCTTCAGTGAAGCCCCAAGGGCATGGGCATCTACATCAATATGTAAAACTTAGGATGCGGGCAACATGATGAGACTCCTACGCATGATTTGATAATAAAAACAGTAAGTAGGTTTGAGACTTTGATCAACAAGTATCTGTCGTGAAAACATCCCTCGAGAACCCAACACTACCGGTAGATTATCCGGCCTCCACGCAAAACTGCCATGATCCTTCCGACTTTGCCAAGGGGTTTCAGGAGATTTTGCAGATGAAAGTGCACGTGTTCAATGAACAGTGTACTTTTGAAAGTTTTACTGGAGAGGACAGCCAATGAGGCTCCTGCCTGATGGTGGATTTTGAAGGATTGCGGAGGGATCCCAGAAAAAAATTCTTAGCATATGGGCTGTGTGGGTTTTATAACCAAGTCGACTCTCATTCGGGGTCTTGGCAATTGATTCCTCTTGTCTGTGTATTTTAATCAGAACATGAAGTCACGTCCATGAGTTTCGTATTTGAATACATGTTGTTCATCTGCATCCAACTTACAAATGTGTGAGAAGCAAGTGCCATGTTTTTTGCTAGCATTTGTACGAAGTTGTTCTCTCCTCTTTTAACCTTTCATCATCTAGCTGTCCCAGTTTCATAAAAGTGCAAGGAAGAATACCTTAATTGGCAAATTTATGCTCACAGCAGTTAAGATGGTGACCTTTTTTGTGCTAAAGCAATTGATTACTTTCTGTCATTCAATTTCTTCAGAAATTAATTCTTAAAAGTTCCTCCGTAATAGATCTCTGCTTTTTTCAGCATCATGATTGTTTGAGTCTTCAATGTCAGCTCTTAATTGCATATAGATCAAAGCAGGCAAAATGCTCACAGCAGGACAATAACAAATACTGACAGCTTTTGACAGGACCATTTTTTTTCTGGTTTTCTGAAAATCTCGTGTACTGGCTGTGTAAATATGATACACCCCCAAATTTGCTTTTTACCCCCCATCCCTTCTTTGTTAGTCTCCTACATTCCTATTCATCTCCATTTCTCTTGCTAAGATAGAATTTTCTATCAAAATCTGAACACAGACCAAACTCACAATTTGTATGGATGTACATCTCATTAATGTTTACATTATTAATGCTTATTTGACCAGTCGTAGGCGAAGAGAACCCCGACGGAAATTTTCGCTTTCCAAATATCATTATTAATTCAACTATTGGTTGCAAGAATAAAAGTGGTAAGGTCTTGAATTATCTAGTGGAAATGCGCAAAGGTCATAACTGAAAAAAAAAAATGACGCAGATACTAACAGATGGCTGTATACTGTGCTTGTGTTTTGTGCTGTGTGGCGTGTTAAATTTTCTGTTGTGTTGCATTGTGTTTTTCATTGCGTTGTGGAGGTCTGGGGCTTAGGTTTGGTTTAATATAACAGAGCATTCAAATCTACAATCCTTTGTGTAATGAGAAACATAAAAAAAAACACTTCACACTTGGATTAAAAAGACCCTAGCCCCCCCCTCCAAAAAAAAACCTTTTTGAAAACTTCATGATGAAAACACCACTTACAGATTTTTGGCAAAGTTTTTACTTTCCCAAAATGTTAGGATAGAAACAAGTAAGTTCTTTATTCTTCTTTGTGGTTGGGTTGATTTCATTCCTAAGAGAAACATTCACCCCCAAATTCTGTGAAATAGCATTTCACAAAGCTATCAATCCGTCTTGAGCAGAAGTGCCCTTTCATCAGATAAAAAGAGCCATGTTGGTCGGGAGTGTTCAGTTTGCTGGTTGCAACGCGACCATAACGCATGCATTTGACAGTCGTTTGTGAACCAACGAAGCGCAGTTCTGACCAAAGGGGTCTCTGTTGATGGGAAAATGGCATTCTCTCTTGGTCCAGCTCGGGGCTCATGAGCACCCGCCACTTGTTCCAATTACGGAACTGCACTGAAGAAAATTTTAAAAATGCAGGTACCTTAAAATTACAGTCATTTTTGTTTGACACATTTTCCGCATGGTCAGTGCAAAAACCCACCCACCAATCAGGTGCTATTCTTGCATATGGAGAAGTGCTCTGGTGTAATTGCATTCAATTGTTGGCAAAAAGGCAAGAAAAAGATGCATTGTTGATCAACAGGAGTTGGTCAGTGTAGACGAATCCGTTGACCACATGCGGCCCCAGCAATGGCAGTGAGCAAATAACTACTGCACAAAGCCCACAGGTGAAGCTTACCTAAAAGGTGACCATCGGGAATGTCCCGACAGAAACGGGACTGAATTCATCTATACACGCTGTGGACAAATATTTCTTTGAAAAAAGAAGCCCATCATAATGCTCCTCCAATTAAGACTGAAACATAGGAGAACAATTATTGCTCAGATGTGGTTGTTCATTAATGCTCAGACTTACATAAAGCTGATGATAAAGACTCAAAAGTCAGTATTAGGGGACCCACGAGTAGAAAGGTGAAATTTAGAAGCAAAAACCGATACCGTACATGTGGGTCATTCTATAAATTTGAGCTCTAATTTTTTTCCTGTCCCTGTTACGTATGGCGTATGATTTTTGAATGTTTAGAACTCATTAATTCCAAGACTGAATAAGTACTGCAAATTGACCGGCCGAACAAATAATAATAGTTTGAAATCAATTTCAGTGATACATCCCTTGTCAAAAATGTCAGATGGTATACATGGCAGAGGTAACAGGGACAGAAAAATGTCACCCTTTGGACCCCAAACTTATAGAATGACCAATTTACACAACCCTGGGAGATGACAATTACCAGTAGACAACAAACTCGTAAGGGCCAAAGGGATAGCCTCACGCACACAGAACTTGTTAAGAAAGTCATGGCAAAGCCGGAAAAAAGCCCCATAACCAGAATTTGAAGAGTTGAAAGGGACTGAGGAGAATATCTAACCGGTGGTTAGTATACCAACTGAACCCAACAAAGGCTCTTATCATTTCCTTTTAGTGACGCTGAAGCCCATGGAGATGATTCAACTCGGACAGCTCGGCAATTCATGCATTGGTAACCAATGCAACTGCATTGTAGTCACGTACTAAAAACAGTTGCCACGACACAGTGGTATTCAATAGTTGTGAGGGCTAGAAGACACCTACGGAGCAATATAAATGCCATTAAGAAAAGGACAGATGTTTCTTTATACTGATATAGAAACAACTATCCGGTAGAGACCGACTGGCCGTTCGAAGTAATGAGCGATGAATAAGAGCTTCACAAGGTTAATTTGGCCAGAAAACATTCAGTATTACAAGGTCAACGAGAAGCCCCAACACTCATCAATGCAAATATCGACAAGAACAGCACTGCTAGGAGAGAGTAGCTCTTATTGAACATGATTAGGCAGTTCTGGACAACAAGACGCACTTTTCACGAAATGTTTTGGATTTGAAAGATGGCTCACCAAGTGATTGATTTTGTTAAAATGTGTCCTTTTTACAAAAAGTGCCTTAAGATTGGGTGTTTCCTCTGAAACTTGATTTGATAGTGACTAATGTACAAGATGTCAATTTATTTTTACCATTGAAGGTTTTATAACTGTGCATGTTTTACATGCAAGTAAGCTGAGAAGAATGTGGTACCTCGCCCCTTCGAATGATATACATGTATACCGGTACATGTATGGACTGCAGTTTCCAAGGCACCAGCCTGAGTGTAACCAGCCCCTATTTAGAGTATATAGTACTATACTATTCAGCACCAAAAGTGCCAAATCAGGAATAATTCTCCAATTTCTAGTACAGAATCTCAACAAATGGTAGGGGGTTAACCACTTCCTGCCGGGGCAGTTATCAATGTTGATGATGCTGGGCCGGGATATTTATCATTTTTTTCTGTTTTAAAAATTCTTTAAAAATTTGTATCTTCCTTTACTGGACACTTACAAACACATGAAGGACTGTTTGGTGGCCCCTCTAGCCTGACAGACAAAATTTATTGACGCCTGAGTATTTCAGCCAGGCCTGCAGCCTTGTAAAAAGAGCCCAGATTGTGCGGTGTTATGTAACTTTCTTTTGTTCACGAACCTTGCTCAGTGCACTGCTGACCTCCATTCAATAGGGGCCAGATTAGCATGCAGTGGTGCTGTGTGGCTCATCGCTGCGGTGGTAAAGCGCTTTTGTCCCCGGCGGTAATCCGCTTGCTCTAAATGGCCAAAACCTTGGTATACTGTTTCAAAACAAGGCTGGATTATCTCCACTTTTGAGAGGGAAAATGTCGGCAATTCCCAGCAGCCTGGTCTTTTGTTCCAAGTACTGTCTTTTGTTACAAGGTCCTGTTCCCTTTGTCCGAGTTCATAGACCCCGGCCACGCATTTAAAGCATACATGTCCGGATCCGGAATCCCCAGCAGGAGTGGTTAAGTACATTTAATTCCAAGGGTTGAAAGAAACAAGATTCAAAGGTCAAATGCCTTATTTCCAGCTGTAAAGCAGCACATCATTGTTCCAGCAGAAACAAAAATTAGAAAGAAGCAAGACGTCAGATGAAGCCTCCCGCAGTAGACAAGTTTTGCCCGAAAAATTATGCATTTGCAGCTCAGTACATTTATCACCAAGGATGGGTTTAACTCCAGCTGGACAACCATACTGTATGTACATGAAAAAAATGCAGTGCATACCTGATGCTGTCAATGTCCGCCAATGGTGTATCGGTACATGTATTTAAGATATGATTGCAATAGCAAACAAGTGGTAAAAATTGTCAAAAGGGTCACACACTATTTGGTTTCAGCAAGAAAAGAATATTTTACCAAGTTGGTGCCTGGCAACATTATACAAAGACACAAAGCAAACAACAAAAGCAGCTTGTACTTGTGTGGAGCAATTAACTTTCTTATATATGTACAAGCTTTCTTGAAAATTGCAATGGCAGTCTGACTAGCTTCTTTTTTTCTTTTTTTTCCCTTTTGCAGCATCGAAATCCTTGCTGGATCTTTTAAGCAGAGCAAAACATGACTACAACAAATTGTTTAATGGCTTGATTTCAACTAAGGGTAATTCCAGAAATTAAGGGTCCAAAAGTGTGACATTTTTGTGTCCCTATTACAGCTGATCTTTGTTATTTGACAAGGAAATGTCACTGGAATTGATTTCAAACTATTACAGTTTGTTGGACAGGTAATTTGCATTAATTCATCACTCTTGGAAATTAGACAATGAGTTCTGAACTTAAAAAATCATGTCAGACGTAACAGGGACACCAAGAAAATGGACCCCCAATTTCTGGAATGACCCCTCATCTGTTTAATTAAATGTCACTGATTGGACTTTTTGTAGTAATTTTTGAAATGATCATGCCAAACACAGTCAACATGCAAGCCCCCAGGTGGCTTAGAACAGGGCACACAACATTCATGCCCAAAACAAATAAAAGGTATGTGAGCTCCTAAAAAATTTCAACATTCATCTGATCAAAGTTATTATTTTTTCCCGAAGATAAAAAGCTACCAAGTCACCAACACATTTGAACTGTTCCTTTGCAACAATTCTATACATGGTGGTGTGCACCCCCCACCCCCAAAACACATACACACAAAGTCCACAGGACATCAAACATCCTCTTTTTTTCCATATGTATATGTGGGTCTACCTTCTTTTCTTCTCTGTTGGTGAGGTTCTGCTTCGTCTGCAATGCCTCCATGGCAGGAATCCATTTGTCGTTCCACATGCGATCTATGCGCTGTTTGACCCATTCCAGCTTGACTGCATTGGCCCTGTCGAGAATGGCCATCAGACCTTCCTTGTCTTTTCTGAGGGTGGCCTGTATCATGCATCCAAAACAGTTTTATTGAGAAAAAAAATACAGAAACAAATGGTGACATTAACATAACAGTAAACTGAAGTCAAATTTACAGTCTGGGACCCATGACATCACATCCTACACACAGGGCTTTCTATATCCAGCAGATGGGAACATACACATCTATTCATCAGTTTTTTGACAGGCTGAAGAGGTCATAGGATCGCCCTCTGAATTTCGTATTGACATGAAAAAATATCTTCCAATCACATGTACCCTTCTATTGGTGTTAACATGACTACGCAAGTTAAAGTTCATGATGTAATTAAAACGTATTAACCCAGCAATGCCCAAATATTTTACCTGTTGACCGTTGAAGACTGTTTGGGTTTTAATAAATACAGAGTAATATACAAGGTGAACCTAAGGCCAATATACATGTGCCTATGTAATCTTCCTCTGAATTTCCAATTTCAAACCGATAGGAATGGATGTTAAATGCATCTACATGTATATATCTGGTACCCTCTGTATGTATATGTAAATCCAAGCTTCTATCATGTACAGCACCATCCTGTATCTCCTCCTACAATTTCAAACATCCAAGAAATTTCACAATTTTTCCAGCATCACACCCTGACCCTCATTGTTGGAACAAATTTATACCTTCAACAAATCTGCTTAACTCAAAATAAGAAGATACTAAAGTAGGAGGAAATGCACACCTAGGACTGATGGGTTCTTGCTTCAGAGAAAATGCCCGAGTTAATTGGAATTTCCAATATGAAGGACTTCAGCTTTCAGAGCAAACTGTATGATACATGTACTCAAGATGTACAACACACTGCAACAGTGAAGCTGTCATGGCTGACCGCTTAGTAAGAATCAATTCAATGAAACACATTTTACAACTGCTTTGCTTTTGCTACGCATACATTTACATTGACCAGAAAAATATCCATTCTACCTAACCCTCAACCTACATGTACCTAACCCCATCCTTCCACCCCACCCGACCCAATCCCAAACAAATCACTGCCCCTTCCTCTCACCACCTCCCTGCTCATTCCAAACAAATCCCCACTCCATCCCCACCAAACAAGCGATTTTCCCACTGTGTCAGCTCCCCACTTATGCCACCGTATCCCCGGCCCAGATATCATGCTTGAGGCGGACGCTTGTTTAACACTGCAGAAAACAGACGATCCAACCCCGCCCCAAATATCATGCTTGAGGTGGACCCTTGTTAAACACTGCAGAAAACGGACAATCCAAGTACAAAGTCCAATTATCATGTATGCATGCAAGTCTGTGTGGACAATGTATGTAATACAGTTATTAGAAACCTGTGGGTCTGCATGTGGTTGCCACGATGGAAAGCCCTGTATAAACCTATGGACAGACAGATGTTCAAATAAAAGTATCTGTTGTGTAAACTCACATCTTCTTTGCAGCTAATCACAATTTAAAATGTAAACAATTTCCCTATTTGAAATTGAACAATTCCTCACTTACCAAATGGTTTAAATGGATTCGTGTTTTTAATTTCTGAAGTAAAATTGCCATTTTAAAGGGAAAAATGTTATATCTAGATCTTAATATGTTGTCAATAAGGGATATCAAAATTGTAAAAAAGAAAAAACCGACATTTTGTAAAATGTAAAAAGCACAATTTCTCAACTCAGACGGGAGAAAGATTAAGATTTTGGAGAATCCAGTCAACACTTCTATGGACATGAAGTAGGTCACCAACTAAATGCATTAAGCATGAGACACAGGAATATCAGGTTACTTTCAGGTAACTTAACAGATGTGGGATTTCTCACAAACAAAACTAAATGAAAAAACAACAACACTAAAACAGTAATTGAAAAAGTAATTTCAATCCTTCTACATGCATGTCTCATCTTCACCACATCACACACTCTGTAAGCTCGTTTGTGGTAAGGGGGAAACAATTTATATGTAGCTGTCTTCGTATGACACTGGTGGTAACGTCAGACATGGTTTGTGCCAGTAGGGCCATAATATGTGATCAGAACACTGAACAGGCTCCTAGAGCCATGCCAATGTCTGTTCTCACACTCATCCTTAACTCAATGTTAGCAGCCCTGGGAAAACTTGTTTAGAAGCCCTGCTTCTGATGGCTGCGAGGGAGGTTTTGACTCCGGGTGCACGTTAATGTCACAGCTAAACACACAAGTGCCTTTTCTTCACTTCCCACAGTGTTTCATGTAATCATTGCCAACGTCTGATTTCGGTTCCAATTCAGTCTGTTTTAGTGTTTTCTTTGTTACATCCCAATCACTGCAGAGTAAGACAGGATACCTGTGTAAATACGTGATTACACCCTGAAGCTAATACGCTCTGACATTTTTCAGGTATGTGTAGATGCATGTAACTGTGATGACATACATGTACATGTGCTAGGGCAACCTAGCAGCCATGGTATTACTGTGATGGCATGGCCTGTTAACTGTGCACAGAAAGCAGCTGTGGCATGGGCAACCAGCACTTTTTAGCCAGTTTCCTTCCACAAACAAGAGATCAAGAGAAATGCATTACAAACAAGGATGAAGTGTTAACAAACACTGATGTCCCATCGAGCCCATGCCTAAATCCACAACTTTAATTTTTGAATTGCAAACAACATTTGTCCGAATTCTGTTAGCCATTCTGACACTTCAGACTGAAATGCAAATAGACTTGTGGAATTATCAGAAACAATGCACAACCCATATTTGAAGTTCATACAAAAATATTTCTCAAGATATTGCATTAAAAAGATTTCTATCATTTTGGTAACTGTGACCTTGACCTTTGACCTTTTGGACCCAAATGTAAAAAAAGCTTCCAACAAACCAAATTTGAAAATTTATGTGTAAATAAGTTCTCAAGTTATCGGGCTGACAAGAATATTACGGACACACACCCAAGGAAGGACAAGCCGGAAAGTACATGTACATGTATACCCCTTCAACCTTGTCGGCGGGGGCCTAAAAATGTAAATGTGTGCAGCGTACAGGAAGTACCGAGTAGACTGAAATCCAGTACACATCTGTTAAGGTTCATTTCCTGAACACATGTTGTTTTGTACCATTTAGGTAGACAATGTGAGCCTGTGGCACAAGTGTACTCCAAAACGTACAATTGTCGAAGAAACACCCTTTCTGCATTTAAGTGATCTTGCTTTCATAAGACACATCATCTTCAGTTTGAAGGCCGTCGTCCAGTCTGCTCTGGATTGGCCAGCTTTCTCCTTTTGGCTCTCCTCCACTTGGCCCTGTCTGCTGCATGCCTCACTATGACTCCAAGTAATCACACAAGACACTCACCCTTTTTCAATCTTATCATACCAAAATCAATACACTAACAGAAAGACATCTAAAAGTTCTGGCATACTTTGTCATCACAAAACCAAGCCCACTGATGAAGCATCCCTCGTGTTACACACTGTGTGTCTGTCCTGTAAAACCTACATGTACACTAAGATACATAGAGGTACATGTACCATCACACAATGGACTACATCAAAATCACTAGGTTTTGTTAGGGTCTTTGTCCCTTTTTGCTTTGAAAGTAATGTAAACTTCTCCCACCCTAATCACCAGTGCCCTCTCAAGGAACCCATTTCTCTGACAGCAACAAATCCTAACCCTACGTTGAAACAATAATAGTCAATTATGTACACGTTCTCAAACACACATGTGCTTGGCCGAACTGTTATTTATAATATCCACATGCAACGGTACTTATACACACTACAAAAATACCCATTCAATCTTCGAAGTGAACCGCACGTGCATTCAATACACTGTTGATTGCAGAAACCCACCCCCCCTTTTTATGGTTCAATGACGGTGAATTCAATTCAGATTCTGCATGGATCACACTGTATCTCCGTGTAATAAATATACTTAAGTGTGGCAGTATTAAACTGAGGCACTGCACCGCAATCTAATTTGCAAAATTCCGGCCGTAACGTGCAACCATTAAAGTTAATGGTCATCCATTTTACGACTGATCTGAGCCAACCAAATCATCCATGCATACACTACCCTGATGTGTTTCTTTATCTCCACCCCCCGCCCCCCAAGGTTGGTTGTGCATTGTGAGAGCTCACACGTGTATCTATGGGTAAAATTTGAGCCAACACGTACTGACTACACGAAACGCCGCTTCAGGTAGTCGGCTAAGAAGGCCATGTTTTGACAGGTTAGGGTAACCACATCGGCTGTGTGGAGGAAAAGAGAAAGTAAACATTTCCTACCAAATAGGAAGGTGAATATTTGATTAATGCACGTGATGCCTGCTGGGATTCTGAAGGATAGGAACGAAACAAAAATGTACAGGGATAGACGAGTATGTAAGAAGAGGCTCATTTCTAGGAGGGGTTCCATGAGCTCAGTCTACAACATTCTTGCCAATTACCCTCAACTCTGACCAACATGCAGCATAGCATCATTTTTTGTTCCCCTCCCCGTGGTCGTACATAAACCAGTACATGCATGGATGTAGGACATACATGTACACGACAATTGCCCCGGAAAATCAGACGGCAGAGGGAAGGGGAGGCAGAAGTCTGAGCAGGAAGAAAAAAAGCAAAAGACACAAATATGTTGTTCAACATCCAGTCATTCAAACAACTGACATAAGAGGAGTAAGTCTTGAAGGGCTTGGTAAAAAAAACAATGCTCCAAATACGTCTCTACAAGTTCCTTTAATTTGACAACCATTTTCAAGTTGGATTAAGACACCACATTCTCAGGGTAACAGGCTTTTTAACATTTCAAACGAGCAACTGATCTCTGCTAAAACTGCACGTACTCCAAACAAAGCCAAACCAGCATTCTCCCCTCCTACATCATTCTGTTAAGCTTTAATCTGGATTGATAGTCCCTTTCGGTTTAATCTAAATCCCAAATAAAGCAGGATGGGTAGTTTGAACAACAATTTTTTTTATCCATGCAAGTCCCACTTGGGTTGAGCTCATTCGTAAATAAATGGGTTAATAAATAGTTAAAGGATGATTTAATGTTACTATTACAGTAATATTAACATATTTATCGCAAAAGATGGGATGAATCCATCTCTGCCTCACTTTTTCGGTCAGTTTTCTTCCTCAGAGGTATACTTAGGCAAAGGACTACTTCCTGTCTAAAACATGATGCAAGTTGATACCAGTTTATTTACCACTCCCCATAGGCCATCTGAATTTGATACTGACTTCATTATGGAATATAGCCAAACACTAAGCAGGATATAAATGTATGTGGGTACATGCCCTTCCCATAATCTGTAAACATGTTTGTGGTGCATTGCCTTGTTAATGTACATGTAAAGGCATGATAACTGATAGCTACATGTAAGCAGCAAACATATAATGTACATGATCTGACACACCTCTTGCTGTGTTTCTAATCCTGGTTGGCTGAGAATATGGTCACAGGGGGTTCACTAATGTAGGCTACTACCAGGCAGTGAATAGAAATTTGCACTTGCATAAACTGGACACCTGCTAAGACATTATGTACGCCCCTACCAGTATATTCTAGAGTATAGTGCCCAGTTAGGCACTATACTCAAAATGTTGATTGATTACAGCACCCTCATATGACAAAAACAATTAACACCAACATTACAAACTTAATCTACAGAGACTGAAAGCATTCCTTGATTTTCTTGTTGAATTGCTTAGGAGTTGATGAGTTGAATTGAAATACGCATGATGAGCAATGTACATGTACATGTAGTTCGTTAATGAGACTCTCCGAAAGGTTACTTTTCTCATTTTACATTTTGGACAAATGTGTGTTGTAAGATGCATACAGACTGCCATCATTTGGCAACTTGTGCACGTCCAGACCCCCCTCCATCAAGCCTGTGAGTGACCAGAAGAGGGTCAAATTTCCCAGGGCCTTTAGCATCGGGCAATGCTATACATGTACATTTAGCAGCCTGTTCTGGTCACTCATAGTCCCTCAAAGAGGCGCACTAGTGACCTAAGGCCAAAAAAAAAGACTCCGGTTTCTGGTCATGGACTTGGTCCAAAAGTGGTGCGGTGATGAGTTTTTGTTTTCTGGGATTTTTTTAATCCTCTTTTTCTTTTTTCCTTAGAAGTGATGCACATGCACATATACAGTACTTGCGCATGGCCTTGTTACAGTACTAATAAAAAGACCATAAAATATGACAAGAGGCAATGGTTTCATTCCTCTCACTCAAACAAGAGGCTTCTATTCATGGCAAGATTGAGCTTGTTAAAATACAGCAGCACAACCATGGAAAATCATATGTGACAAATAAATGGTCAGCTCCAGTTTGCAGTTTTAAATGAAGTTCTCATGAGGTAGCAGTATGTGACATTCTTTGCACATTGTATTCTGCTTTAGCTTAGAGGAAACAAGTTGCACGTCAAATAGCCTATGAAAAAAAAATAAATAAAAATAGTTCAGCTCCAGAGTCAAAATGAAAATAAAATTCTCACGAGGTAAATGATATACTGTGCACATTGTTTTCTGTTTTAGCTTACAAGAAATAAGCTGCATTTAATAAACTGGGGAAGAAATTCAGCTCAGAAAATAAAATCTCCTCTCACTCTAATCTACCGCTGTTCTTTGCAAGTGACGATGCATGACTTGTTACATGTATGGTTGTCATAACGCGATGCAAGTCCATCGCCACTGCATGCGTACGTACCGCCACTGCCTCGCTGACACTGAAATAGACAGGCCCCTCATGGTTTGCTGCTCCAAAGCATTTTCAAGATGTATATTTACGGACATAAGACCACTTTGTTTGTCTGGTTCACAGACATATGAGGGCCCGGGTCTAAATCAATTGGCTACGACCAAAAATTACACCGAGCATTTGGCAGCATCCACGGCTAGTTCCCATAGAATCATGCATAATATCAAGCCGCAGCCAACTGATTCGGACACAGCCTTCGTGTAAAGATACACGAATGATGTCATCTGATCAGAGTGCCCGACTGAAATGTATGGAGGCCTAGGGGGATTCCATCACCGTACATATTACTCCACCCCACCCATTGAAAACATGTTAAAGTTACGCAGTAGCAGAATTCCTGCCGATCAAGTAAGTTTGGCGGCTTTTGGAAATCATTTTATGCAAAATTAAAAAATTCTTTGTTTTGCCGACGCACAGGTCTACGGCGACGTGCATGGTAACCAGAAACCAGAGACTTTTGGGGGGTCTTACTGCAAGTCCAAATGCACTTAAAAAGTGGCATTGCGTGCAACACTTACCTCTCAGGTTATCCCTTCACTTCTTGCATTTCATACTGACAATTACATGTATAAGCTGTACACGCAAGCTGAAGAAGTGTGTATATGTACACTGCATGTATTTCACAGGTACATATGAAATCAAGGCCAACCTCAAGAATCCCTCTTGAGATTTCCTTTACGGAGTAACACTGAGTCATGAACTCTGGGAGATGGGGCACATGACTCCAACGGTGCTTCCAACTGGACAATCCATGATTCTTCGACACTGACAACTTTTACACTTCGGTCAGAACCTACCTTGGGTCTGTTGGACCCTGTCAAAAGGGGCCTAGGCGACTGTGGTCTCCACTTGAGGATTGGACACCATGACTCCACCTCACTGAGGTAGATGAGGAAGGAGCACTCGCTGCCATCCACACCATACTTGCTGTAACAGGGGTCCGATGACCACATTTCCCTCATCCACTGGAGGGGTGGAGTCAAGAGAACGGGGGAGTTAAGACAGACAAGGCCGAGTCAGAGAAACAAATTATGCATACACTGTGAAAGTACATGTGCATTCAACAGACACTGTAACAATAAGAAATCAACAAGTTGGGTATACGCAAAAGTCAAGGTCATTGGAGAGCAAAACTCCTGATGGCACACTACAATGTACATGTACATGTTGTTGGATAAGTTCAATGCATGTGAGTCAATATATTATACAGCTGTGCTCTCAGAACACTGTCTCACTCCAAAAATTGTAATAATTAGTGTTGGTCTGCCGTCATAAAAATGATCAATCACACAGTATATAATAGTAAAACAGAGTTTAAATTAATTAAAATCATCTACAAATAGAGGTTGCAGAATTTCATCATATTTTGCTGTGAGGATTCATTGCTGATGTAATATATGTATCAAAGTTGGCCAGTGAGCAAATTTCAGGTTCATAATGTAAAAAGAAAAGACCCATAAATGAACAGTGTGTTCCTTGGATGACATGAAAGTAATTACACTCTCCCCTGGCTTGAAAAGCATACAGTTTGATCATGATGTTTGGTCAATTTTACATAAGACAAGAATGGAAAGCAGGACACTATTCATGTCATTTACATACATACATTGTACATGTAAATTTACAGTAGAAAATTGTGGAAATTCATGTCACAGAGCAGCGATACTGGTAAGATAAATGTGAGAACACCCCTGGACATGCTGAAGCACAGCCTAAGTCGTGATCAAGATCACCACTTCAGGGCTCTCCAAAATAAAACAGTCAGAAAGTTTGGGGTAGAACGTTAGAACGATACACTGTTCTACTGAAGTTGTACCAAAAATGAATACAAATCAATTAAAATTCCCCGGTAAGCACATCATTCCCTGGAAATTTGTTTCAACTTACGGCAATTTTCCGTTCACAATCTGGGTATCCCCGAAGCTCATCTCGGAGATACGAACATTTCATTTCTGGTTGCATAATTAAATCTGCAGCAAAACAAAATAAAGAAAATATTCAAAATACATATTTTCTGCCCATGCAAAGAAGCCAGTGTAGCGGTAAGTGTTCCTTGTATGTGATGTTCCAAGATAAGAGAAACTAAAGAGCAGACATTAACAGGTCTGGGGAAAAAAAACAGATACCTGGAAAAAAACACAAAGTACTGAAAAAGAGAAGTATCAGAGAAAAACAACTTGAATTTGTTAGAACACAGCTGCCTCCCACTAGCACTAAACAGTGAATAAATTATGTGCATGGTTAATGAGTAGATGTGATGAAATCAAATTACATCAAAGCCACACAAATCTATTGACCTTTGAGGTTATATGTCCCATTTATTCCTAAAATAGTTCAGGCAAATGATGTAAAAACTGCACATCTATGCATGGTATTCTTCAAACAAATCCCTGAGTGTTACATGTATATCTATGTTTTAAGAATGTGGTGAAAACTTTCTGACATGTACTGGTACATGTACGTATACAAATAGTGTTTACTTGTTTACCAATCTGTTTTTCACAACACTGTGAATGCAGTTTTGTTGATCGGTGGTAATCAATACAAGTACACCAACATGTATGCAAAGGCCCATAAGAGCAGGACTTACTCGATCAGTGATCTTTTCAAATTTTTTTTTTTCAATAATTCACAAGGATTTTTACGGGTGACAGGAAATGATCTTGTGTGGCTTTCATGCACAAAGTAAGGTTTTCCTCAATAATTATTAAGGTCTTGGAGTGTGCCATCGTGGATAAAATAATCAGTCAGAGGATACTAATATTTCTGAGAAGACAGGAACAAGCCTTCTGCAATTCAGGCATGGGACTGGAAAGACAGAAAACAAAAGTGGAATTAGAGAATGAAGTTAAAAGACATACATGTAACTTTCCTGGACCCATAATAAGAATACATTAGAACCCTCCTATGCTAAGATGCATTCTTGACACAGTTGTCATATCAGTCAAAATCAGTCAAATTTCCCATACGTGTCTGTGTACTGGGGGAAATCAATTGGAAGGCATTTTTGACTGTTTTTGACGGTTAAAACAGAAGGAGGGACAGGACATGCAAATACTCCACTTGATTTTTCGTGAAAGTTGCGAAATCCCTGAAATCTGTCAAAATCCTGAGAGGCACATCCTTGCTGAAAAAAGAGGGAAATTCCAAGCTGTGTGGGCATTGTGCAAGAACGTACTTTTCAATGTGTTATGGCAAGCTGGAAGTACATGTACCCAGTACATACAGTATATGCACACTGTAGGTACGGGAAGTAAACAAAAAAAACCAGGAAATATGTAGTTAGTTGAAGAAATGGTGATTAAAGCCTTAACCACATAACAACAGAAAAGCAATTATAAAATTAATATTCATGAATTCAAATGTTTGATTTTTGTGTTTGAAGTTAAATTTTATAAAAACCAAACATCCTGCCTGATGTGTACACAGAGAAGGGAGGTTCCAAAAGCAGTTTTTTTGGGAGGGGACGAGGAATTTTCGGGGTTTTTTTTAGGGGGGGGAATTTTGTCAATATTTTGATGTAACCCTTTCTAGAGGATGAGGCTACATTTTGGGGCTTTTTACATGCTTTGGGAAGAAAGAGAAATAAAATACAGCTTTTAAAAAATCTGCTTCCTCTTATTTTTATTATTTCAAAATTTGGGGGGATCTATTACTTTTTGCAGGAATTCCCCCCATGCACCTGTGCACAAAACTTGCATCTTGTGCAATCACTGAGGTCTTCCTAGGATTTTACACAATACACGAGTACCAGCGCCGGTACATGCATGCTCGACCATTTGACCTGAGCTAAATTTTGTAACTAAAAGTTGGGGGAAAAAAATCACCCAAAGAATTTATTACATACGTACAGTATGGATTTATCAGACAGCAGGCTATCGTCTAATTTTTAATGAATTTATTATACACTTTTACACTTATACTGGTGAGAATATTTAGTAACTGTTATTTATAACTGTTATTATAATTGTTATTATTTTTGCCAGAATTTGTTATTCCAAGACTGCTTAGTGAATGAACAAATACATGTTAAAACACCACAAGGAAATGGTGACCCTCAAAACTGTGCAGAAAACTTCCAATCTTTGTTTTTAAGAAAACGTTGAGAAAGTTAATGATAGCTGTAAAGCCACGATTGATGATACACAGAATGAAAGCGAAGAAATGAAAGTGAACTGTGACCTGATCAAGGAAATGAGTCGCATGTCAATCCCCAAAACAATTGGACGTTTATACATGTTTGCATGTACTTGACAATCCATGTAGAGTAAATTGACATAAGAGGGAGAGATGACAAAGTCTATTTTTGGAAAACTTGGCGTCAATACAACACCTTCAGAAAATTATGATGTGAACAAACAGAGGTTCCTGTATGCAAAAGACGTTAGAGTTCACCTAGCATTTTGGGCCAGCCTCCTTCCAAACACACATAAATCAGGACACAAACTGCCCATGAGATTTGAACTTTACAGACTTGAGCAATGCTGAAGACTAGAACAGTGCTCTCCAGTCTAGAACAGT